TAGCTTGTTAGCCATCGGCCGATTGAGATTAGCAGGATCATTGTATTTTTTCTTGAAAACACAGATGAGAATGTGCTAAAGGTCGGAAAAAGAAAAGGAGGAGTAGGACTAGGCATAGACAAATATGTAAAAAGAGTAAAGTTGGAAATATACTGTCTGTCGGATCGGAGCTCTCATCTGTCCAAGAGAAATATCCTCATTTTGATATTGACCGAAGAAGAATGTTTCCACTCTACAGCTCAAATCACGCCAACAACCGCAGTCCCAGGATTGATTGGATATTGACTTGCTAAAAAGAAAATCTTACGGGGGGCGCTTATTCAAACGGGGCGCTTAAGGAAATTTTCACGTTATAGGAGGGGCGGTTATTCGAGAGGGCGGTTATTCAAACGGGGCGCTTATTCGCGCGAGTACGGTATTCATGAATTTGATATTTCTAATCATTGGCCAGCCATACAGGTCAATGACATTGCCCTATTTGATTATTATCATTCCATTGATTCGACGTCAGTGATGGGCCTTGTTTTTGGGACTGGTCATTTATCATTTGGCTTGACATGTCAATTGTGGAGACCAAAGGGTTCAGTGACCGGGACCAGTTGATAAATGAGAAGAAACTGTATGGGAACCAAAGGGATGTGGTTAGAATTGGAATGTAGATCAAATGTTGGAAGTTTCTTTAATAGATGCTTTGAGGATAGGCAAGGCAGTTGTCACTTGGACACCTAAGTGCATATTACTCCAACCAAGCATGGAGGATCTTATTTATTCCTCCATGAACCAAGTAAGACTTAAGTTGTATTTATTCATGTTTTCAGAGAAATAACAGCACAGTGGGACTTGGGCTTTACTTTGTAGGAATTTTTACTATATTCCTGAAGATTAAATTGCATGTAGAACATTACGTGTACATTATGTGTATATCCTTGTGTTTGCTTCTGGACTGGACTTCGTCCCAATAATAAACAATTAAACACTTTATATGTTAAAACATATTTATTAGACAGTATTTAGCAGAAGAATGCAAAAAAAAAAAAAAAAAAGATGATGCAAAAATAATCCACGGTATTTTTGGACTCTATGTTTGTAATTACCTGCATTAAGATAATGAATAAGTTATGTAATGAATAAATGTTAATGAAATGCTACAAAAGAGGAATCTGCCCATGAATGGAAAAATCAACCTCCACCGGGATTCGAACCCAGGACCTTCCGCATATATGGCGAACGTCATAACCGCTAGACCACGGAGGCTTTGGTTTATCCAATCTTGTTCAGGTTTCTCTTCTATTACATATTATTAATACCTATTCACTGCATTGGTATATTCATTCACCGTACTGCAGCCACACCTTAAGTATCCTGTTCTACATAAGAAAGTATAATCCTGATGATGACATCATTAATGTCGAAATATTGAATCCCAACACGATGGCGTGTATTTCAATACTTGGAGTATGTATTATACTTTCTTATCTGAGATTAATCAGTGGACCTTTCTGTTCTACATTGTAATATTTTTTCCCCCTCTCAGTGATGTATCTAGGATTATTGAAATAGGAAGGGCATTTGATGGCACACGGGAGTGAGGTGAAGTGGGAGGGCTTGATGATTAAGTGAGGAAGCTGACAAAATGAGGCGATTTTAACTAATGTACTTGAAAGTATTCCTTATTCGAAAATTTATAAAGATGGAGAAGGGCAACTGGGGGGGGGGGCTTCTTTTTTTCTTTATCTAATACTGTATTACAGTGGTTGATTATATCTAAAATATATAATAATAATAATAATAATAGTGTAGTTTTATATAGCGCACATATCCATCTAATGTAAGATGCTCAGGGCGCTTGAAATGTGGACTAGGAACTCGACCAATGACTTTCTTCGCCCCTAAGGGTCCCTTCGTGTCTGTGCTACCCGGTAACCCGGTACCAGCAGCTCTAGTCTCATTGTACCAATTTATATTTATTATATATATGTATATATTACATACATGATATATATATATATATATATATATATATATATATACACAAAAAGATACAAAATATCTATATACTGTATTATAAATGCAGACATACATAAATAAATATATATATGAATATACAGTACTTATTTGTATACAATTAATCTTATATTTACCATCTTATATATTCATTATATATTATATTCTATTGTATATATAAATATGATGTATATATAAATCTGATGTTCCGAATTTATTTACCTTTCAATCCCCAGGCGGTCAGAGTGTTGAGTTTGTGAATACTAGTACTAAAATTAAACTGTATAATACACTTCTAGCTCATGAGTTCTCTCCGATTTATTCCACCGTGAGAGCATCTATATTACACATTATGTACAAACATATTTATATTAAATGTAAACTAAAGAACCAGAACACAACTGTAAATCTATGAACATGTATCCATGTGCTCAACTAATAGATGATGCTCCTTTAAAGGGAATTCTTTAAAACAAGCAGGGCATTGCAGTTTTTCTTCCTTTTTAGCATTTAGTAAACTACCATCTTCAGCATTATTTTCACAATCTACTTCCACCTCATCAGGAAGTCCAGACGCATTGTACCTGTCAGTTGCTTGTCGATGGAATTCCACACCTAGTGGCCGCATTCCAACATCAAAATCCTGTTAGAAGAAAAAAAAAACACATCATAAATGATATTATCATTACCCGTAGTATTAAATCTCTCTAATTATAAACTGTAGTAATCTTCACTTTAAAAATAAACGATATAATAACAATTTTACATAATCGTTTGAATTATTTATTGGCGGGATAAGGTTTGCATTCTTAGCATTTATCATTGTTGATTTTAAATTGAAGAACTCATAGTATTATCTACCAGTGCACATGAATATTGCTATGAAAATGAATACAATTTGACAGCATTCTTTTTGGATGGTTTGCCTTGTGATAGGTAAAAAAAAAGGAAAGAGAAAGAGGAGGGAAATGTATGATTTTTGGGCTAAATTATATATTAGAAACAGATAAAAAAAATTAACATTTATATATAAAATAAATTATCAAAATTATATAAATCCAAATTTATATAAAATATAAGACTAACCTTGTTTAGTTTTGCTCGTGTTACGTAAGGATATGATGCACCTTCTTGCTTATATACCATCTGTTGGAAAAACACCAAGATTAGTTGTGATTTGAACATTAGGAAGTAAACACAATGACATACCGGTACAGTACTTCCAGGAAGCCTGTTAAAGAGGCCTCCTACTGCCCCATAT